CGGCAGGGGCCGCGTAGGTGAGGGCGGCGGGGCCGCGAAGGTGAGGCGGCGGGGCCGCTACGTGAGGGCGGCGGGGCCGCGAAGGTGAGGCGGCGGGGCCGCTACGTGAGGGCGGCGGGGCCGCGACGTAAGGGCGGCGGGGCCGCGTAGGTAAGGGCGGCGGGGCCGCGTAGGTAAGGGCGGCGGAGCCGCGAAGGTGAGGGCGGCGAGGCCGCGAAGGTGAGGCGACGGGGCCGCGACGTGAGGGCGGCGGGGCCGCGACGTAAGGGCGGCGGGGCCGCAACGTGAGGGCGGCGGGGCCGCGACGTGAGGGCGGCGGGGCCGCGACGTAAGGGCGGCGGGGCCGCGTAGGTAAGGGCGGCGGGGCCGCGACGTGAGGGCGGCGGGGCCGCGACGTGAGGGCGGCGGGGCCGCGTCGTGAGGGCGGCGGGGCCACGACGTGAGGGCGGCGGGGCCGCGACGTGAGGGCGGCGAGGCCGCGACGTAAGGGCGGCGGGGCCGCGACGTAAGGGCGGCGGGGCCGCGTAGGTAAGGGCAGCGGGGCCGCGTAGGTAAGGGCGGCGGGGCCGCGTAGGTAAGGGCGGCGTAACGGGCCGCTAGGGGCGACACGGAGGGTCGCTAAAAAAAAGGAACGCGCGCCTCGGGGCGCGCTTCGGTGGGCCCTGGGAACAGTCCCGAGGAGGGGACCTGCTCTGATTCCATGTGAAAGAGTGAACGAGAATGAATGAACTATGAGTGAAGTGGGTACAAGTACTAACCCTAATTGGGTTGTACCCCCTATGGGATACCCCACTATAGCCTACAGAAAAGCATAAGCTATAATGTTCTGACAGCTGATTCCCGTGCCGCCCACCCCCGCCCCTTAGTTGCATTTTCGTCGCGGGTGTTGATGTGGTCTGTCTGTCCCTCTCTCTCTCTCTCTCTCTCTCTCTCTCTCTCTCTCTCTCTCTCTCTCTCTCTCTCTCTCTCTCTCTCTCTCCAGTTAAAGCAGCATTTGTTATCATCACCTGCTAGTTTTTATCACCTGCTATAATCACCTCACCTGAAAGTGCAGTGGAATCTCATACAACTTGTCTTCAGCCTGCAACCCTTCATCCTCCCCCTCCCCCCACCCCCCTCTCCCTCTCCTGTTTCAGCAGCATTCGTTATGATCAACTGCTAGTTATCAAAATTCGCTATAATCACCTGCAAGTGCTGTGGAATCTCATACAGATTTTCCCCAACCCTTCCTCATCCCCCTCCCCCCCATCACGTTGCCTTACCATTCGTTATCATAGCATGCACTATAATCACCTACAAGTGCTGTGAGGAATCTCATACAGCTTGTCTTCAGCCTGCAACCCTTCCTCATCCCCATCCCCCTTCCTCTAACTCCTGTTTAAGCGGCACTCGTTATAACACCTGTTAACACATAGTTATAATCACCTGCAAGTGCTGTGGAATCTCGTACAGCTTGTCCTCAGCCCGCAACACTTCATCCTCCCCTTCCCCCTCCCCCCTGCTGCCCCCTACTGCCCCCGCCCCTCCCCCTCGCTGCTTCGCCAGCTCCTCCTCGATGTACTTGAGCCTGGGGGGGAGGGGGGGAGCGGGAGGAGGGGCAAGGAGAATGAGGGTCAGGTCAGGGCATCAAAGCTAACTTAGCACCCCCTCGGCACTTTGCCAATTCCTCCTCGATGTGCTTGAGCGTGGGAAAGAATGTATGGGAGGGCACAAAAGTATTGTGGGTCACAGCATGGGGCAGCCAGCGGGCATGTAAGAAGCACTTCCTCTCTGCTTTGCCGCTGCCCCCGCCCCTCCCCCTCGGCGCTTTGCCAGCTCCTCGGCAATGTACTTGAGCCTGGGGGGGGGACCAGTGTGGAGGGACAGGTCACAGGAGGGGCATAGGGCATGGGGCATGCACGACCGGGGCATGGGGCTCAACTCCGCACCCCCTCGGCGCTTCGCCAGCTCCTCCTCTATGTACTTGAGCCTGGGGGGCGAGCTTTTTTCTTCAATTCGGCCACGTGGCTGCGTGCGTTTGGACCTAAAGTCGTGCTGGGGGGGGAGGGAAGGGGAGGAGGGGGGGGGGAAGGGGGAAGGGGAGAGGAGAGGGTGAGGATGATGGGGCATGAGGGTCACGGCGCGGAGCTCAATTAAGCATCCCCTTACTGCTTCGCCCGTTCCTCTTCGATATGCTTGAGCCTGGGAGCCAGGGTGGAGGTAGAGAAGGGGGGAAAGCGGGGGAAGAGGGGGATGAGGGGGAAAAGGGGAGAATGAGGGGGAAGGGGGAGAGTGTGGGGGAAGGGCATGGGGGCCAACTCAGCTCCTCCTCTATGTACTTGAGCCTGGGGAACCAGGTAGGGAGGGGTGAAGGATAGGGAGGGGGGAGAGGAAGACGGGTGAGGACGAGGGCGTGGGCCACCTGCGCAAGCGTGTCCTGTAAAGCAACTCCTCGCCCCCCTCCCCATCCTCCCCACTTCCCCGTCTCCCCCCCATTCCCCATCCTCCCCACTTCCCCGTCTCCCCCCCATTCCCCATCCTCCCCACTTCCCCGTCTCCCCCCCCTTCCCCATCCTCCCCACTTCCCCGTCTCTCCCCCCTTCCCCTTCCTCCTCCTTCCCCGTCCTTCTTCACGTACATGTTTGGATCTTCTACAGTAATCGCCGTTTCCTGTGCAAACGTGTCTTGAAGAACCAGCTCCTCGCCCCCTTCCCCTTCCTCCCCCGCCTCCCCCTGCGCCCCCGCGCCTCCCCCCTTCCCCTCCGCCCCTTCTGCGCCTGTGAGCGCCCCGTCAGCTGCTATCCCCTTAAGACGCACACGCTGCTGCTGCAGCAGGCGCACTTCCTCTAGGGCGGACCTGGGAGGGAGTTTGCAGTGAAATGAAATGGGATGAGATGGGGAGAAGGGGAAGGGGGGTGAGGGCCAGCGCCTCGTCTGCTGCAATCCCCTTGAGGCACACACGCGCTGCTGCTGCAGCAGACGCACTTCCTCTAGGGCGGACCTGAGGAGATGGAGCGGGGTTGGGAGCGGTAAGGGGGTAATTTGCTTCCGATACCCCACACGCGACACTCCACGCGCGCTGCTGCTGCTGCAGCAGGCGCACTTCCTTTAGGGCGGACCTGCGGAGATGGAGAGGAGTTGGGAGCGGTAAGGGGGTATACACAGAGCGCCCCATTTGCTGCTATCCCCTTGCAGCGCACGCGCTGCAGCTGCAGCAGACGCACTTTCTCTAGCGCGGAGCTGCAAGGGGGGAAGTTATGGGGAAAGATTTGGGGGCGGGGGCGGAAGGGGGGAAGAAGGGGGCGGTGGGGTTGAGGCGCATGCGCTGCTGCTGTGGCAGACGGACTTCTCTAGGTGGAAGCTGCAGGAGGAAAGATACGGGGGAAGAATTTAGGGGGGGAAGAGGGGGGAGGGGGAGGGGACGGGGTGGTTGAGGCGCACGCGCTGCTGCTGCAGAAGGCAGAGTTCCTGTAGCGCGGAGCTGTGGAGGAAAGGGGAAACGGGGAAGGGGAAAGGTGGACGGAAGAGGGAAGTGGGGTGGGGGAAGGGGGAAAGGGGAAATAAGTGGGAAGAGGGATGGGGGAAGAGGGTAGGGGGGTGCGTGTGAGTGCAAAGGTGAAGCGGAGGCAGCAAGTGGATGAAGCGACGAGCGGAGAAGATGGCGAGACGACGCTCTCGCGATTCTTGAGGCACCTCAAGAATAGGAATGGGGGGTGAAGCGGAGGCAGCAAGCGGATGAAGCGACGGGCGAAGCAGATGGCGCGACACGACGCCCTCGCACGCGTGGATAAACGAGAGCGTGGGTAATATGAGCAGCGGACGACTCGGGGCAAGGGGAGCGGCACTGAGGAACCAAATGACGCGTCTTTGCAGATGGTTGCATCGAACGGTCGATAGCCTGACCTAGGTTTGGTAAAGAACAGGTATGACCGAATCAGAAACGGTAAAGCCTAGATATGCTCAACCTTAGGTATGGCCGATCCGAGGTACGGCCAAAACTAGATACCATAAAATCTAGGTACAACGGAGAAGTCGGAATGGCGCGTATCGGATGCCCTTATGCTCCTCGGGCTCCCCTCCGCCATCCCTCTCTTCTCATTGCTACCAGCGCTACGGTCAATGCAAGCGCTGTCGTCGAACCTAGATACGAATAACCGTAACGACGCACGAAAGACGGTCTAACCGTAATGACGCACGAAAGACGGCCTAGCGCGTACCGCACGTCTTTCTGCTCCTCGGGCTCTCCTCCGCCATCCCCCTCCTCCTCGAGCGCTTTAGTCAATTCTAGTGCGGCCAAACCTCCTTAACGACCGAAGAAAGACGATATAGCGCGTACCGGACGTCCTTCTGCTCCTCGGGCTCCCCTCCGCCATCCCCGTCCTCTCGCTACTACCAGTGCTACGGTTAATGTGAGTGCTGCCAAACCTACGTGCGGTTGACCGTAACGACGCAAGAAAGGCGGTCTAGTGCGAATCGGACGTCCTTACTGCTCCTCTGGCTCTCCTCCGCCATCTCCCGCCTCTCGCTGCCACTAGCGCTTCGGTCAATCTGAACTCTGCCAAAACTATGTGCGGTTAACTGTAACGAGGGACGAAAGACGGTATAGCGCGTACCGTACGTCTTTCTGCTCCTCGGGCTCCCTTCCGCCATCCCCGTCCTCCTCCTCGAGCGCTTTCCGCTTCCGAAACTGCCGCTTCTGCTGCACCGGCATGGCGTCGCACGACGGGATCGCACAAGTATGCGAAGCGGGAAATGACAGTCGCAGAAACGCGTCGTAAGGAGTGCGTGTCGCATGATGGGATCGCATTAAATGCAGATGATACCGGGGAAGTGTGCATGCAAGTAAGTTTGTGTCGCCGAAACAGCAACGAGTACGATGTTGCGGCGTAGCGCACAAGGCGGATACAAGAATCCGAGAACCAAACCCTGAATGTACACTCACTCTAGTTGCGCTATTGCGCTCCAGTAGTAGTAGTAGTAAGGACGTGGAGGGTACTACTAGTACTAGTTGCCGCCGCAGAATGGCGAAAAGCTTCTCTCTGGTTGAGCCCACACTCGTTCTTCTCTCCTCGTCGTCCGCAGCAAGCTAGGCAGTGGGGAGGAAAGCTCAGAGGCAGCGGCGAAAGGCGGCACAACAGCCGGAAGGAAGGGAGTGAGGGGTGGGGAGGGGAGGGAAGGGGAGGAGTGGGGCAATGACAGGAGGAGAGGGTAGGGGGGATGGGAGAAGGAGCCTAGGGGTACAGAGGAGAAGGAGCCTAGGGGTACAGAGGAGAAGGAGCCTAGGGGTACAGAGGAGAAGGAGCCTAGGGGTACAGAGGAGAAGGAGCCTAGGGGTACAGAGGAGAAGGAGCCTAGGGGTACAGAGGAGAAGGAGCCTAGGGGTACAGAGGAGAAGGAGCCTAGGGGTACAGAGGAGAAGGAGCCTAGGGGTACAGAGGAGAAGGAGCCTAGGGGTACAGAGGAGAAGGAGCCTAGGGGTACAGAGGAGAAGGAGCCTAGGGGTACAGAGGAGAAGGAGCCTAGGGGTACAGAGGAGAAGGAGCCTAGGGGTACAGAGGAGAAGGAGCCTTGGGTTACAGAGGAGAAGGAGCCTAGGGGTACAGAGGAGAAGGAGCCTAGGGGTACAGAGGAGAGAAGGAGCCTAGGGGTACAGAGGAGAAGGAGCCTAGGGGTACAGAGGAGAAGGAGCCTAGGGGTACAGAGGAGAAGGAGCCTAGGGGTACAGAGGAGAAGGAGCCTAGGGGTACAGAGGAGAAGGAGCCTAGGGGTACAGAGGAGAAGGAGCCTAGGGGTACAGAGGAGAAGGAGCCTAGGGGTACAGAGGAGAAGGAGCCTAGGGGTACAGAGGAGAAGGAGCCTAGGGGTACAGAGGAGAAGGAGCCTAGGGGTACAGAGGAGAAGGAGCCTAGGGGTACAGAGGAGAAGGAGCCTAGGGGTACAGAGGAGAAGGAGCCTAGGGTACAGAGGAGTAAGGAGCCTAGGGGTACAGAGGAGAAGGAGCCTAGGGGTACAGAGCAGAGGAGAAGGAGCCTAGGGGTACAGAGGAGAAGGAGCCTAGGGGTACAGAGGAGAAGGAGCCTAGGGGTACAGAGGAGAAGGAGCCTAGGGGTACAGAGGAGAAGGAGCCTAGGGGTACAGAGGAGAAGGAGCCTAGGGGTACAGAGGAGAAGGAGCCTAGGGGTACAGAGGAGAAGGAGCCTAGGGGTACAGAGGAGAAGGAGCCTAGGGGTACAGAGGAGAAGGAGCCTAGGGGTACAGAGGAGAAGGAGCCTAGGGGTACAGAGGAGAAGGAGCCTAGGGGTACAGAGGAGAAGGAGCCTAGGGGTACAGAGGAGAAGGAGCCTAGGGGTACAGAGGAGAAGGAGCCTAGGGGTACAGAGGAGAAGGAGCCTAGGGGTACAGAGGAGAAGGAGCCTAGGGGTACAGAGGAGAAGGAGCCTAGGGGTACAGAGGAGAGGAGAAGGAGCCTAGGGGTACAGAGGAGAAGGAGCCTAGGGGTACAGAGGAGAAGGAGCCTAGGGGTACAGAGGAGAAGGAGCCTAGGGGTACAGAGGAGAAGGAGCCTAGGGGTACAGAGGAGAAGGAGCCTAGGGGTACAGAGGAGAAGGAGCCTAGGGGTACAGAGGAGAAGGAGCCTAGGGGTACAGAGGAGAAGGAGCCTAGGGGTACAGAGGAGAAGGAGCCTAGGGGTACAGAGGAGAAGGAGCCTAGGGGTACAGAGGAGAAGGAGCCTAGGGGTACAGAGGAGAAGGAGCCTAGGGGTACAGAGGAGAAGGAGCCTAGGGGTACAGAGGAGAAGGAGCCTAGGGGTACAGAGGAGAAGGAGCCTAGGGGTACAGAGGAGAAGGAGCCTAGGGGTACAGAGGAGAAGGAGCCTAGGGGTACAGAGGAGAAGGAGCCTAGGGGTACAGAGGAGAAGGAGCCTAGGGGTACAGAGGAGAAGGAGCCTAGGGGTACAGAGGAGAAGGAGCCTAGGGGTACAGAGGAGAAGGAGCCTAGGGGTACAGAGGAGAAGGAGCCTAGGGGTACAGAGGAGAAGGAGCCTAGGGGTACAGAGGAGAAGGAGCCTAGGGGTACAGAGGAGAAGGAGCCTAGGGGTACAGAGGAGAAGGAGCCTAGGGGTACAGAGGAGAAGGAGCCTAGGGGTACAGAGGAGAAGGAGCCTAGGGGTACAGAGGAGAAGGAGCCTAGGGGTACAGAGGAGAAGGAGCCTAGGGGTACAGAGGAGAAGGAGCCTAGGGGTACAGAGGAGAAGGAGCCTAGGGGTACAGAGGAGAAGGAGCCTAGGGGTACAGAGGAGAAGGAGCCTAGGGGTACAGAGGAGAAGGAGCCTAGGGGTACAGAGGAGAAGGAGCCTAGGGGTACAGAGGAGAAGGAGCCTAGGGGTACAGAGGAGAAGGAGCCTAGGGGTACAGAGGAGAAGGAGCCTAGGGGTACAGAGGAGAAGGAGCCTAGGGGTACAGAGGAGAAGGAGCCTAGGGGTACAGAGGAGAAGGAGCCTAGGGGTACAGAGGAGAAGGAGCCTAGGGGTACAGAGGAGAAGGAGCCTAGGGGTACAGAGGAGAAGGAGCCTAGGGGTACAGAGGAGAAGGAGCCTAGGGGTACAGAGGAGAAGGAGCCTAGGGGTACAGAGGAGAAGGAGCCTAGGGGTACAGAGGAGAAGGAGCCTAGGGGTACAGAGGAGAAGGAGCCTAGGGGTACAGAGGAGAAGGAGCCTAGGGGTACAGAGGAGAAGGAGCCTAGGGGTACAGAGGAGAAGGAGCCTAGGGGTACAGAGGAGAAGGAGCCTAGGGGTACAGAGGAGAAGGAGCCTAGGGGTACAGAGGAGAAGGAGCCTAGGGGTACAGAGGAGAAGGAGCCTAGGGGTACAGAGGAGAAGGAGCCTAGGGGTACAGAGGAGAAGGAGCCTAGGGGTACAGAGGAGAAGGAGCCTAGGGGTACAGAGGAGAAGGAGCCTAGGGGTACAGAGAAGGAGCCTAGGGGTACAGAGGAGAAGGAGCCTAGGGGTACAGAGGAGAAGGAGCCTTGGGGTACAGAGGAGAAGGAGCCAAGGGGTACAGAGGAGAAGGAGCCTAGGGGTACAGAGGAGAAGGAGCCTAGGGGTACAGAGGAGAAGGAGCCTAGGGGTACAGAGGAGAAGGAGCCTAGGGGTACAGAGGAGAAGGAGCCTAGGGGTACAGAGGAGAAGGAGCCTAGGGGTACAGAGGAGAAGGAGCCTAGGGGTACAGAGGAGAAGGAGCCTAGGGGTACAGAGGAGAAGGAGCCTAGGGGTACAGAGGAGAAGGAGCCTAGGGGTACAGAGGAGAAGGAGCCTAGGGGTACAGAGGAGAAGGAGCCTAGGGGTACAGAGGAGAAGGAGCCTAGGGGTACAGAGGAGAAGGAGCCTAGGGGTACAGAGGAGAAGGAGCCTAGGGGTACAGAGGAGAAGGAGCCTTGGGGTACAGAGTAGAAGGAGCCTAGGGGTACAGAGGAGAAGGAGCCTAGGGGTACAGAGGAGAAGGAGCCTAGGGGTACAGAGGAGAAGGAGCCTAGGGGTACAGAGGAGAAGGAGCCTAGGGGTACAGAGGAGAAGGAGCCTAGGGGTACAGAGGAGAAGGAGCCTAGGGGTACAGAGGAGAAGGAGCCTAGGGGTACAGAGGAGAAGGAGCCTAGGGGTACAGAGGAGAAGGAGCCTAGGGGTACAGAGGAGAAGGAGCCTAGGGGTACAGAGGAGAAGGAGCCTAGGGGTACAGAGGAGAAGGAGCCTAGGGGTACAGAGGAGAAGGAGCCTAGGGGTACAGAGGAGAAGGAGCCTAGGGGTACAGAGGAGAAGGAGCCTAGGGGTACAGAGGAGAAGGAGCCTAGGGGTACAGAGGAGAAGGAGCCTAGGGGTACAGAGGAGAAGGAGCCTAGGGGTACAGAGGAGAAGGAGCCTAGGGTTACAGAGGAGAAGGAGCCTAGGGGTACAGAGGAGAAGGAGCCTAGGGGTACAGAGGAGAAGGAGCCTAGGGGTACAGAGGAGAAGGAGCCTAGGGGTACAGAGGAGAAGGAGCCTAGGGGTACAGAGGAGAAGGAGCCTAGGGGTACAGAGGAGAAGGAGCCTAGGGGTACAGAGGAGAAGGAGCCTAGGGGTACAGAGGAGAAGGAGCCTAGGGGTACAGAGGAGAAGGAGCCTAGGGGTACAGAGGAGAAGGAGCCTAGGGGTACAGAGGAGAAGGAGCCTAGGGGTACAGAGGAGAAGGAGCCTAGGGGTACAGAGGAGAAGGAGCCTAGGGGTACAGAGGAGAAGGAGCCTAGGGGTACAGAGGAGAAGGAGCCTAGGGGTACAGAGGAGAAGGAGCCTAGGGGTACAGAGGAGAAGGAGCCTAGGGGTACAGAGGAGAAGGAGCCTAGGGGTACAGAGGAGAAGGAGCCTAGGGGTACAGAGGAGAAGGAGCCTAGGGGTACAGAGGAGAAGGAGCCTAGGGGTACAGAGGAGAAGGAGCCTAGGGGTACAGAGGAGAAGGAGCCTAGGGGTACAGAGGAGAAGGAGCCTAGGGGTACAGAGGAGAAGGAGCCTAGGGGTACAGAGGAGAAGGAGCCTAGGGGTACAGAGGAGAAGGAGCCTAGGGGTACAGAGGAGAAGGAGCCTAGGGGTACAGAGGAGAAGGAGCCTAGGGGTACAGAGGAGAAGGAGCCTAGGGGTACAGAGGAGAAGGAGCCTAGGGGTACAGAGGAGAAGGAGCCTAGGGGTACAGAGGAGAAGGAGCCTAGGGGTACAGAGGAGAAGGAGCCTAGGGGTACAGAGGAGAAGGAGCCTAGGGGTACAGAGGAGAAGGAGCCTAGGGGTACAGAGGAGAAGGAGCCTAGGGGTACAGAGGAGAAGGAGCCTAGGGGTACAGAGGAGAAGGAGCCTAGGGGTACAGAGGAGAAGGAGCCTAGGGGTACAGAGGAGAAGGAGCCTAGGGGTACAGAGGAGAAGGAGCCTAGGGGTACAGAGGAGAAGGAGCCTAGGGGTACAGAGGAGAAGGAGCCTAGGGGTACAGAGGAGAAGGAGCCTAGGGGTACAGAGGAGAAGGAGCCTAGGGGTACAGAGGAGAAGGAGCCTAGGGGTACAGAGGAGAAGGAGCCTAGGGGTACAGAGGAGAAGGAGCCTAGGGGTACAGAGGAGAAGGAGCCTAGGGGTACAGAGGAGAAGGAGCCTAGGGGTACAGAGGAGAAGGAGCCTAGGGGTACAGAGGAGAAGGAGCCTAGGGGTACAGAGGAGAAGGAGCCTAGGGGTACAGAGGAGAAGGAGCCTAGGGGTACAGAGGAGAAGGAGCCTAGGGGTACAGAGGAGAAGGAGCCTAGGGGTACAGAGGAGAAGGAGCCTAGGGGTACAGAGGAGAAGGAGCCTAGGGGTACAGAGGAGAAGGAGCCTAGGGGTACAGAGGAGAAGGAGCCTAGGGGTACAGAGGAGAAGGAGCCTAGGGGTACAGAGGAGAAGGAGCCTAGGGGTACAGAGGAGAAGGAGCCTAGGGGTACAGAGGAGAAGGAGCCTAGGGGTACAGAGGAGAAGGAGCCTAGGGGTACAGAGGAGAAGGAGCCTAGGGGTACAGGAGAAGAGCTAGGGTAGCCTAGGGGTACAGAGGAGAAGGAGCCTAGGGGTACAGAGGAGAAGGAGCCTAGGGGTACAGAGGAGAAGGAGCCTAGGGGTACAGAGGAGAAGGAGCCTAGGGGTACAGAGGAGAAGGAGCCTAGGGGTACAGAGGAGAAGGAGCCTAGGGGTACAGAGGAGAAGGAGCCTAGGGGTACAGAGGAGAAGGAGCCTAGGGGTACAGAGGAGAAGGAGCCTAGGGGTACAGAGGAGAAGGAGCCTAGGGGTACAGAGGAGAAGGAGCCTAGGGGTACAGAGGAGAAGGAGCCTAGGGGTACAGAGGAGAAGGAGCCTAGGGGTACAGAGGAGAAGGAGCCTAGGGGTACAGAGGAGAAGGAGCCTAGGGGTACAGAGGAGAAGGAGCCTAGGGGTACAGAGGAGAAGGAGCCTAGGGGTACAGAGGAGAAGGAGCCTAGGGGTACAGAGGAGAAGGAGCCTAGGGGTACAGAGGAGAAGGAGCCTAGGGGTACAGAGGAGAAGGAGCCTAGGGGTACAGAGGAGAAGGAGCCTAGGGGTACAGAGGAGAAGGAGCCTAGGGGTACAGAGGAGAAGGAGCCTAGGGGTACAGAGGAGAAGGAGCCTAGGGGTACAGAGGAGAAGGAGCCTAGGGGTACAGAGGAGAAGGAGCCTAGGGGTACAGAGGAGAAGGAGCCTAGGGGTACAGAGGAGAAGGAGCCTAGGGGTACAGAGGAGAAGGAGCCTAGGGGTACAGAGGAGAAGGAGCCTAGGGGTACAGAGGAGAAGGAGCCTAGGGGTACAGAGGAGAAGGAGCCTAGGGGTACAGAGGAGAAGGAGCCTAGGGGTACAGAGGAGAAGGAGCCTAGGGGTACAGAGGAGAAGGAGCCTAGGGGTACAGAGGAGAAGGAGCCTAGGGGTACAGAGGAGAAGGAGCCTAGGGGTACAGAGGAGAAGGAGCCTAGGGGTACAGAGGAGAAGGAGCCTAGGGGTACAGAGGAGAAGGAGCCTAGGGGTACAGAGGAGAAGGAGCCTAGGGGTACAGAGGAGAAGGAGCCTAGGGGTACAGAGGAGAAGGAGCCTAGGGGTACAGAGGAGAAGGAGCCTAGGGGTACAGAGGAGAAGGAGCCTAGGGGTACAGAGGAGAAGGAGCCTAGGGGTACAGAGGAGAAGGAGCCTAGGGGTACAGAGGAGAAGGAGCCTAGGGGTACAGAGGAGAAGGAGCCTAGGGGTACAGAGGAGAAGGAGCCTAGGGGTACAGAGGAGAAGGAGCCTAGGGGTACAGAGGAGAAGGAGCCTAGGGGTACAGAGGAGAAGGAGCCTAGGGGTACAGAGGAGAAGGAGCCTAGGGGTACAGAGGAGAAGGAGCCTAGGGGTACAGAGGAGAAGGAGCCTAGGGGTACAGAGGAGAAGGAGCCTAGGGGTACAGAGGAGAAGGAGCCTAGGGGTACAGAGGAGAAGGAGCCTAGGGGTACAGAGGAGAAGGAGCCTAGGGGTACAGAGGAGAAGGAGCCTAGGGGTACAGAGGAGAAGGAGCCTAGGGGTACAGAGGAGAAGGAGCCTAGGGGTACAGAGGAGAAGGAGCCTAGGGGTACAGAGGAGAAGGAGCCTAGGGGTACAGAGGAGAAGGAGCCTAGGGGTACAGAGGAGAAGGAGCCTAGGGGTACAGAGGAGAAGGAGCCTAGGGGTACAGAGGAGAAGGAGCCTAGGGGTACAGAGGAGAAGGAGCCTAGGGGTACAGAGGAGAAGGAGCCTAGGGGTACAGAGGAGAAGGAGCCTAGGGGTACAGAGGAGAAGGAGCCTAGGGGTACAGAGGAGAAGGAGCCTAGGGGTACAGAGGAGAAGGAGCCTAGGGGTACAGAGGAGAAGGAGCCTAGGGGTACAGAGGAGAAGGAGCCTAGGGGTACAGAGGAGAAGGAGCCTAGGGGTACAGAGGAGAAGGAGCCTAGGGGTACAGAGGAGAAGGAGCCTAGGGGTACAGAGGAGAAGGAGCCTAGGGGTACAGAGGAGAAGGAGCCTAGGGGTACAGAGGAGAAGGAGCCTAGGGGTACAGAGGAGAAGGAGCCTAGGGGTACAGAGGAGAAGGAGCCTAGGGGTACAGAGGAGAAGGAGCCTAGGGGTACAGAGGAGAAGGAGCCTAGGGGTACAGAGGAGAAGGAGCCTAGGGGTACAGAGGAGAAGGAGCCTAGGGGTACAGAGGAGAAGGAGCCTAGGGGTACAGAGGAGAAGGAGCCTAGGGGTACAGAGGAGAAGGAGCCTAGGGGTACAGAGGAGAAGGAGCCTAGGGGTACAGAGGAGAAGGAGCCTAGGGGTACAGAGGAGAAGGAGCCTAGGGGTACAGAGGAGAAGGAGCCTAGGGGTACAGAGGAGAAGGAGCCTAGGGGTACAGAGGAGAAGGAGCCTAGGGGTACAGAGGAGAAGGAGCCTAGGGGTACAGAGGAGAAGGAGCCTAGGGGTACAGAGGAGAAGGAGCCTTTGGTTCTGAATGAGCTTCTTCTCCTCGTCTCGTCGTCCGTAGAAATGAGCTGGTGGGGACATAAGTGGTAGCAGAAAAAGGAGGGAAGAGGACCGGGAGTGTGAGGGAGAGGAGAGAAAGAGGCACAAGGTGCAAGGACAGAGATTCTCTGGATGCTCCCAATCTCGTTCTCCTTAGTCATCTGCAGGCTTCTCGCTTGGTTTGATGCATACCACAAAATCAGGCGGTTAAAACAGTTTTTTTCTTAACAAGTATCGGTCACACATTCAAACCCCCCTGGATCGACGCAGTCGCAGTTGAATCGTAGCCATTCGCGAAGGTCGTCTTGCAGGCCCGGGACACCCGGATGTAGCAATGGTATGATCCAAAGCCATCGGTGACGACATGCAATATAGTAGTCGCCAAACTTCTCGCCTGGGTTGATGCACACTGCAAAATCAGAGGCGGTAAAAGAGGAGTGATGGTGGGGAGGAGCAATTGTGGTGAGAGCGGCAATGAGAGGAGGAGCAATGACGGGGGGAGCGACGGGGGGAGCGAGGGGGGGAGGAGCATTGGGGGTAGCACCGACATCACAAAAATGTGTGTGTCTGGAAATCATCCGACCATTATTTTTTTTCACAAGAGTTCCAAAAACGTTTGAGAATCATTCAGTAATCATCTATCTACCATTTGTATAGCATTTTTGTCAGAGCAGATTGTCAAACATTATACATGTTATGCTTGTGTAGGCTACAGTGGGTTAGCCTATAGGGGGTACACAATTCTAGGGTTTCCTACTTGTACTCATTTCACTGCTAGTTCATTCATTCCTGTTCTCTTATCTTTCACATGGTATAGAGCGGGTCCTTCCTAAGGACCGTTTTTTAGGGCCCACCGAAGCGCGCCCCGAGGCGCGCATTTTCTTTTTCGCGACCCTTCGGGTCGCCATTCCTCTCGCGGCCCCGCTGTCCCTCTGACGCGGCCGCGCCACCCCTGCTTGACGCGGCCCCGCCGCCTCCTCTGCAGCGGCTCCGCCGCCTCCTCTGACGCGGCCCCGCCGCCCGCTGATCGCGGCCCCGCCGCCGGCTCTGACGCGGCCCCGCCGCCGGCTATGACGCGGCCCCGCCGCCCTCTGATCGCGGCCCGCCGCTGGCCCTGACGCGGCCCCGCCGCTGGCTCTTAGCCGGCCTCGTCGCCGGCTCCAACGCGGCCCCGCTGCCCGCCTCGACGAGGCCCCGCCGCCGGCTCTGACGCGGCCCCGCCGCCGCCTCCTGATCGCGGCCCCGCCTCGGCTCTCTCTCGGCCTCGCCGCCGGCCCTGACGCGGCCCCGCCCCGGCTCTCACGCGGCCCCGCCGCCGGCTCTCTTGCGGCCCCGCCGCCGGCTCTCTTGCGGCCCCCGCCCCGGCTCTCTTACGGCCCCGCCGCCGGCCCTGACGCGGCCCCGGCCTCGGCTCTCAGGCGGCCCCGCCACCGGCTCTCTTGCGGCCCTGCCGCCAGCTCTGAAGCGGCCCCGTCCCTGCTCTCACGAGGCCCCTGCCGCCGGCTCTGACGCGGCCCCGCCCCGGTTCTTTCACGCGGCCCTGCTGCCCCACCTGCAGCAGCCGAGCCGCCCTGTCGCCGAGCCCCCCGGGAGCCGAGCCGCCCTGCCCCCGAGCCGCCCTGCCACCGAGCCGCCCAGCAGCCGAGCCGCCCTGCACCCGAGCCGCCCAGCCGCCGAGCAGCCCGGGAGCCGAGCCGCTGTGCACCCGAGCCGCCCGGTCGCCGAGCCGCCTTTCTGCAGAGCTGCACGACCTGCCCTGCCTGGTGAGCACAGTCCCACAGTCACTGCGAGCTCTTTCCCTACTGCTTGCACTGCGTCGCTGTCGTCGCCATGGCTACCCCTAGTGTCCTAGCTTTTGACGCTGAGGGTCGCGCCATTGATTTTGAGGTCTGGTTAGACGACCTGCAGCTGTTCTTACAGTGCGACAGGGCTGATAGCCTTTCTCTCTTTGACCTCACCTCTGGCGCCTCTCCTGCTCCTGCTGCTGATGCTGATCCCACTGTCCGCTCTCAGTGGGCCACCCGCGATGCTGCTGCACGTCTTGCTGTGCGTCGCCACCTCCCTACCTCTGAGCGTGCGCACTTTAGTCAGTACAAGAGTGCTCAGACCTTGTACGACGCTGTAGTTGCGCGCTACTCCTCCCCTGCCACTGCTGCACTGAGCCGTCTCATGCTTCCCTACCTCTTTCCTGACCTCTCTGCCTTTCCCACTGTCGCTGATCTCATTACGCACCTCCGCACTAGTGACACTCGCTACCGCGCCGCCCTTCCTGCTGAGTTCTGCGCTAAGAACCCACCCCCCATGTACATCGCTCTCTACTACGTAGTTGCGCGCCTCCCTGACTCCCTTCGCGTCGTCAGGGACCACTTTCTCGCAGTCTGTCCCACCACCCTCACCGTCGACCTCCTCGAGAAGGCCCTCCTCGCAGCGGAGAAGAGCATAGTCGCTGTAGGTGCTTCTCGTGGTGACCCTCGCACCCCCATCTTTGAGGGGTGCTCTCCTTCCCCCTTGCTGCCTTCTGTTGCCTCTGCTGCTGCTGCCGACCTACTTGGTCTTGAGTCGGTCGGCGCGGCGTCTGCCCCTAGTGGGAGACGTCGCTCCAGCAAGGGCAAGGGGGGCAAGGGTGCGGGTGGAGCTGGAGGGGGCGGTGGCGGTGGCGGCGGTGGCGGCGGAGGGAGTGGGGGTGGCGGCGGGACTAGTGGCGGAGGTGGTGGTGGTGGTGGCAGCACCGGAGGAGACGGTGGTGGTGGTGCTAGCGGTGGTGGTGGAGGCAGCGGCGGGGGTGGAGGCGGCGGAGGTGGAGGCGGTGGAGGCGGCAGCGGAGGAGGCGGTGGTGGTGGAGGAGGTGGAGCTGGTCGGGGTGGTACCCAGCAGCGTAGCGGCGGTGGTAGTGGCGAGCGCTCGCAGCGGCAGCAGCAGCAGCGCTCGCGGGACATCCCTCCGCCTCAGCAGCTTCGTGAGTGGTACGCTGGGCGTCAGAGGGGTGGGGGTACTGGTCCCTGCACCTACGTTCTTCGTTCCGGCGACCGCGCGGGTGAGCAGTGTGGGGGTGCCCACGCCGCCCAGCGCTGCTTTGGCCGCCTGACGGACGCTTGGCGTCAGCAGTTCCCTGGGGCTAGTGAGATCCCTCGCTGGGATGAGCTTCTTAGGGCTGGTGTAGCGATCTTTGATCTTGATTTTGATGCTATCCTTGCTGCTATGTATGCTGTGACTTATAGTGAGGAGAATGAGGGTTACCGGTGTTTCCAGCCCGACCCGGGCATTGGTACTGCTGCGCTAGGTGCTTGTGAGGCTGCTGCTCTAGGTGCCAGTGCGTCTGCGCTCTCGGGTACTGGTGAGACTGCGCTCTCAGGTACTGCGTCGTCCTCGTCCTCCCTCACTTTCACACTTGACTCCGGGGCTTCTCGCTCCTTCTTTCGAGACCGCACTACCCTTACGCCGCTCGGCCGGCCGGTTGCAGTCTCCCTTGCTGACCCCTCTGGGGGTCCTGTCCTGTCTCACTTCTCCACTGTCCTCCCGTGTCCGGCTGCCCCTTCGGGCACCCTGTCTGGTCTGTACCTTCCCTCGTTCTCTACGAACTTGGTGAGTGGCGCGGACCTGCAGGATGTGGGGGTTCACCAGTTCACTCCTGCGAGTCAGCGGGTGACCCACTGCACGGAGGCACGCACAGGCCGACACCTGGCCACGTTCTCGCGTCGGCCGGGGTCGAGTCTCTACACCCTTACCGTTGAGTCTCCTCCTGTCCCTGCGTCTGGTCAGGTGGCTGCGTCAGGTCAGGTGCTTGCTGCTGCGTCCCGGTCAGGTCCTGAGTCTGCCCCCTGTTCTTGTCGCCTCCTGTCTCACGAGACTCTCCTGTGGCACCACCGTCTTGGCCACCCCTCCTTGCCCCGTCTTCGGAGCATGGCTTCCCGTGTCCTTGTCTCTGGTCTTCCCCAGTCTCTCCCTCCTCTCCCCTCAGGGCCAGGACCTTCCTGTGTCCCCTGTGTCGAGGGTCGCCTCCGGGCTACTCCTCACTCCTCCCACTTCCCCCCGACAGAGGCTCCCCTGCAGACGCTTCACATGGATGTGTGGGGCCCAGCCCCCGTCCGTGGGCAGGGTCACGAGCGCTACTTCCTGTTGGTGGTTGACGACTACTCGCGTTACACCACAGTCCTCCCCTTGCGCAGCAAGGGTGCGGTCCCTGAGGTGCTGATCGACTGGATCCGCGAGGCTCGTCTCCAGCTCAGGAAGAGCTTCGGCTCGGACTTTCCTGTTCTGCGTCTGCACTCGGACAGAGGCAGAGAGTTCTCTTCTCGCCTTCTGCGAGACTACTATCGTGCACGGGGGATCCGCCAGACCTTCACGCTTCCGGACTCACCACAGCAAAATGGGATTGCTGAGCGCCGCATTGGCATGGTCATGGATGTCGCTCGTACGTCCATGATGCATGCGGCTGCCCCCCATTTTCTGTGGCCGTTTGCGGTGAGGTACGCGGCGCATCAGCTCAACCTTCACCCCCGGGTCTCTCGGCCTGCGATGTCCCCAGCCTTGCTGTGGACGGGGAAGGTTGGCGATGCGTCTGCGTTCCGTGTCTGGGGATCTCGGGCGTTTGTCCGCGACTTGTCTGCGGACAAGCTGTCCCCTCGTGCTGCTCCCTGTGTCTTCCTTGGCTTCCCCACTGACGCCCCAGGGTGGCAGTTTTACCACCCCTCCTCTCGTCGTGTTCTGTCCTCCCAGGACGTCACGTTCGACGAGTCAGTCCCCTTCTACCGTCTCTTCCCCTACCGCACTCCTTCCCTCCCCCCTCCCCCAGACTTCCTTGTGCCGGTTCCCCCCCCGGTAGACCCCCTCCCCCTTCAGGTTCCTGCCCCCTCAGGTGTGTCCCAGGTAGACGCCGTTGACCCGGTCGAGGTTACTGGTGACTCTGGTGCTGCTGCGGGTGCTGAGCCTGGGGATGCTGACTCTGGGGGTGCTAGGCCTGAGGGTGCTCCTGCGGAGGGTGCGGAGCCTGGGGGTGCTGAGCCGGGGGGTGCTGTGCCTGGAGGTGCTGGGTCTGGGGGTGCTGGGTCGGG